CCCGTTCGTGAAAGGAAAGGGGAGGTGCTAGGATACGTCGAAAATCCAGAGCCTCATCCAGCCCGCAGTCAGAAAAAACAAAAAACAAAACCCAACTAAGAGCATTTACTTAACACCAAAAGACAAAACCGTGCGGCGCAAAGCCCGACCGCCGACGGGACCGGGCGCCCACAGCCCCAGCGGCCGCGGGTCCTGGGCGGCCAGGAGGCGCGCGGCCGAGAGGCCGCCGCGGCCCCAGACGCGCACACGCCGCCCCCGGCACCGAGCGTGGTGCGGGCGGGGCACGGGGAGGCCTCGGGCCGGCCCGGCGGGCGCCCGCGGTGGGGGCCTGGGCCCGCGCGCCCCTCGCGCCCTAGTCCGGGGCGGGCGAGGCGCCGATCCGGGAGGAGGGTCACGCACGCGCTGGGCGCCAGAGGAGCCCACGTGCTCGGCGCCCGGTCGCGTGACGACGGCCGAGCGCGCGGACGTTCGCAGGCTCGGCGGCGAGGGTGCCGCCCGCCCTGCCCCAGACGCGGCAGCTTGTGCGGGAGCGCAGGCACCACGTGGGCGGCAGGCCGGGCCTCGGAGGCCTTCCGGCCGGAAACCTTTAGTAGGGGTGCGGGGTCGGGGGAGCCGCGTTTCTCTCTTTCTGTCCAGACTTTAACCTCCCAGCCCACCCGACAGTTGCGTTGCCCAACAGGTTAATAAAACCAGGTTGTTCACCGTTTTCAGGAAGAGCCCTGGGAGTCAAAGGATCCGATTACCCCACGAAGTAGCTGTGAAGTCAGTGCCAGGCCTTTGACTTCACAGGGCTCACGTTTAAGTGGAGGAGCCGGATTTGCCGAGCAATTTACAAATTTCCAGATGGTTTTTGCGTCTCTGGTCTCATCTTCGTAACATTATGGTCACTCAGAGCATTAACGAGGTATACTCCCATTTTCTTTATAGAATTGAACTAAAAATACAGCTGCCAGTCACATCTTGACCTGAAAGGAGAACCAGTTATGCTTCTGAATTGATAAACATTTCTGTGAGCCACAAAGAAATATTTTAGGTCCGGCTAGGCAACCTTGTTCCACGTAATATGTCATTTCTGTTAGCGGTGTGTGTTTAATTGAGTTGAATTCGATCCATCTTCTCATGTTAGTGCATCTAAAATTCCTGGGGAGAGGTTCCTATGGGCCCCAGGTACCGAGTGCTAACCCAGTAGGCTCGATCTGGGGCCCAGGGACTTCCATGTAGATCAGTGTCCCTGGAGCCTGGACTGCCGTCTAATACACTGGAGATTATAAAAGTCTCCTGCCCTGGCTGGTAATAACCCTGATGGCTAATTTGCCTTTCAGCTCTGACAATGGGGTTGGTATACCCAAGCTACAGTTGCCATCAGAAGAATCACCCCCTCTGAATAAGCTTTCTCCTCCCAACTCTGTTTTGTGTTAAGACTTTTGAGATTTTTCTCTAAAATTATATACAGAAGATGAAAAGGGAAAAAAAATTAAGCAACCATTTCTTGGGGCTCTCCCATGTGCCACGCCCTGGGGATGTGGGGACAGCTGTCCTTCCCACAAGAAGCTATCTTATTTCAATTACAATTGTATTATTTGTATTACAAGCTGTCTTATGGCTTCTTGTGAGGGAATATTACTCTTGAAGGAAAGGTTAGGACACTTAAAAATATAATGCCTGTTTGTATTCGTTGGCTGGAGAATGCATATCAATACTGATTTTCTTGTAGAGTTAATCTTTCAAAATCGTCTAGTTGGTATTTTTTATCTGGGAAGTTAGTAAAGTATGAACAGGAATCTTTTGACCTAATTTTTACATTTTAATGCTTACAGTTAAGTTGGAAACCTGTTTTTTTTTTTACTTTAAAAAATTTGAAATATAATTGACAGATAACATTAGTTTCAGGTGTACAATATACTGATTTGGTGTTTGTATATAGAATGATTGCAAATGATAAAAGTATAATTGAATAACTGCTTTTTAAAAGCTTGCTTTTTTTCTTTTCCCTGTAGTTTATAAAAATATTTACTTCAACTCCTGTTTGGGTGGTCTGTGAGGTTTATAGGCAGGCTTGTGTTGGCTGAACATTTTTAGACAATGCATTCTCTTGTTTAAGTACTGTCTTTCTTAGATTCTAAGATAAGCTTTTTTGCTTTTTACTGCTTTTGAAATTGTGATGCATCTTGTGATTTTTGTATGTTTAATGTGGTAGGGTATGTCATATGTACTCCCCTCCACTCCCCAAAAGCTGTTTAAAAAATCGTGGTTTTACAGTGTGGGTAGTGTGAGAATCAGAAAGTACATTTGCCCAGTAACCTCTAAGCTGGGTTCCAATTAACTGAGCCTCAAATCATTTCAATATGAACATAGACAATAAGTGATGTAACTTTTGGCAGTAAAAGTAATGAAATTTGTATTGTAACAAAGCATTTGTTATGCAGTGTTGGGGATTATTTTGTTAGTGACTGTAGATGGGAAAAATGCTTTCAGTAATTTTATTTTTGACTTGAGTGTTTTGTGCACTTTGTTTAACCACACTTCCTGGTGAATGTGCTTATGCTTTATTCATATTATGCTTTTAAAAAAACAAGTGTTTCTTTTGCATCTTCCTGCTATTCACACCCCATAGGTTTTAAAATGACCAAATGTGAGGGATAAAAGATGTGTGGCTGGATATGAAATTACTTTTTCAATATAGGGTACCTTTAATAGTACAAACCTTTTGTCCTGGTCCAATAGTTTTTTAAAAATTAAGTGTAAGCAATGTGTTGGGGGTCCTCAAGACCATCCCTGGGGTCATTGATTTGCTAGGACTCAAAGCTGATTTCTTTTGGCCAAAGGAGGCCAAGCACTTAATTACTCCAGCAACTGATTGTGACACTTGTAAAACGTTGCCAACTAGGGAAGCTCATTAGACGCCCAGTGGCAGGGTTTTTATTGGGGGCTGACACATAGGAACCCTCTACCTGGCACATACCAAAATTCCAGTCTCCCAGAAGGAAAGCCGGTGTTCATTATAAACCCCAGTGCTTGCACAAACAGTGTAGGCACAGTGAGTCACTCTTATCAGCTAATGGTGGTGAGAATGCTCCCAAAATCTCAGTGCCCAGATGTCCCCCATTTGCTGGGCTTTCAAAGATAGCAGGTACCTTTTTTTTTTTCACAAGGTGTATTCTTTACTGAGTCTGCTTTCATATCTCCTTGTATTTTGTCATTGTTTCTGGGTTCCAAGTACTAGCAAATACTCATCTCACTGAAGCTTTTATTCTTTAGTTGAGAAATCAAACTGCTCTGGAAAACTTAAAAGGAATAGGAAACATTTTCAGAAAATATGTGTCTCATTGATAACATGTCCTAAAACACTAAAATTTATTTTTTTCTAATCCTGAGCCCTTAACCCTTCCAGTGCAAAATAAAATGTGTCTCATTGATAACATGTCCTAAAACACTAAAATTTATTTTTTTCTAATCCTGAGCCCTTAACCCTTCCAGTGCAAAATTTTAATATCAGTTTGTATTATTTTTCCACATGGTCCTGTGTTTCCCTACCAAAAGCACTTGATCTGAGCTCTTTGTAGGTACAAAATTTAGAAGCTCAAATGAGGCCACTAGAGAGTTTTTATATTTGGATGTTCTGTGTCCTAATTTGTGAGGTTTACATTTGGGTTGCCTTCTAAGTTGTTTCAATGTGTAATAAATACACTGTTCCAGGGTGCTTGCTTCCCGGGCTAGGCCACTAATTTTTAGTCCACAGCATAGCTGAAAATATAGTTTAGTTATGATGACAAAAGAGAAAACAGTGTTGCAATTCTGATAGCTCAACAAAATAGAAAACCAAACTATCTATAGTCATTGGTCTCTGGGATAAGTTAGTTTTCACAAGAGCATTGGTTTGTAACCTGTATTTTGGGAGGAAATGGGGGGGAGGGGAGGTGACAGGGAGTGCTTTAAAAATCTGCTGAAAGCAGTGGACCCCCAAAAAAGTAAACTTTATAATTTTGTAGTTTTATGAAATTCATATAATTTGAATCACCATTCTTTATCCCCAGATGAAGGACACCTGGGATTCTAAGTATGACAGTAGTTGTGGTTTGGGGATAGTTGTGAGAAAGGCTTGGCAGTGCTTGGGAGTGTCACCCCTCTGGCAATTCAAGTGTGGTCTGGGGACGAACAGCAGCTTTACCTGGGAGCCTGTAGGAGATGCAGAATGTCAGCCCTGCCTGCGATCCAGCTGCGCAGGTGATGTGTGTGCGCGTTGAAGTCAGAGAAGCGCTGTGTTAGAGGCTAATGATATTGGTATTTTATTATGTCTTGTTTCATTTGACAAGTTATAGCATTTTAAAGATGGGATATAAATATCTTTAGCCTTCACTTTTCAGCCTTTAATTTGTTCTTTTTTTTTTTTAATGTGGGAGGAGGGTTTCTGATAAAGTGGCAGTTTTCAGTAGTAAGCTGAGATGTGAAGAGAGGATGTTCAGGTGGTTGAGGAAGCCTCCGGAGCAGGCGGCTGCTTGCTCCAGCCAGCAGGTGACACCACCGGCCCAGGGCATGCTGGCTGCCCTGGGAAAGAGCAATTGGGTGGGCCCCTGTGAGTCCTTCTCTAGTCAGGGGTTTGTAACTCATTCGATCAGGAACCTGCTGCTGACTGAAGCCACGGTCAGGATTTTCAACTTTGCTGTGTCAGTGGCCACAGGCTACATTGTGACTAGGAACTGCTGAGACAGTTAAATTATTTAGTTTGGGGTAAATATATCTCCTGAGAAACAAATTCCATGACAGGGTTTACATATGAGAAAAACATGCTTCCCTTTACATGAATATGTCATCTGAGTCATGTTTGAGGCGGAATCTCACCCTGGGAGAAGTGGTGCTGGCTTAAGGCTGTGTCCTGTTCGAGAGGAAACGGCAGAGATGTGTGCATTCCACCCTGGTGCCCCGGGTAGCCTCACCGTGTGTGTTTTGTTCTTCGGCCAGTTTGTGATTCCTCACTGCTTTGTCTTGAAGACAGAACAACCATGCCAAGAGAGCACTGTACGCAGGTGAAGGTGGAGGCAGTGGGTGGGCCTTCCATTTTGAACTGGGACACCCCCAATGGTCTCTTTGAAAGTTTAATTGTGCCCATCAAGATGGAGACTTTTTTCAAGGAATTCTGGGAGCAGAAGCCCCTTCTCTGTCAGAGATGACCCTGCCCTGGCCACGTATTACCACCCACTGTTCAGGCTCTCTGAGGTGAAGAGTCTTTGCAGGTGGGTTATGTGCTATGGAAGAGACATAAACGTCTGCCAGTGTGACAGTGGAAAGAAGAAGGTTTTAAACAGAGATGGCAACATGCACTTTCTTCAGCTGAGAAAATATTTTGATCAGAAAAGGGCAACAATTCAGTTTCACCGACCTCAGAGATTTAAGGTAAATAGGCTGTCCCCATTGCAGAATCCTCATGTATCAGCCCTAGGATGAACCTGAGGTTTGATGATGATTAGCCTCGTGCCAGTTTAAGAAGAGGTACCACCTGTTTTAGTCTGTAAGTGCATTTCAAATTAGGAGATTTCATGTTATCTTTTGGCTAAACAGAATCTCCCAAAACTCAAGATGGACATGGTTGGGTGCATGGAGCTTGTGGATAAAATGAGAGTTCCTGTGGCCAGGATTCTCACCTGGCCCTGGTTGACTAGCTCACTGCACACCTGTGGGCAATACATGGCTGCTGACTCTGTATAAAGAGCTCCACCCAGTGCTCTGGGCGCAACATGGTGGCAGGGCTGCAAGGCTGCAGGAGAGCAAAGCAGAGTCTGGAGTAGTGGCAGTGCTGAGGACAGAGGCCCAGAGGATGGCTGTGCGGGACGACTGTGCAGGCAGAGAGGTCCAGAGGATGTCTGTGTGGGATGGCTGTGTGGACAGAGAGGCCCAGAGGACAGCTGTGCAGAGGGGCCCAGAGGCAGAGACTGGCTTGCTGCATGCAAACTCGCTCTGAGTGAACGGGATTTTAGTGACTGACCTGCCACCTGGAAATAAAGTTGGGTATAACCCTTTCACCCCGAGAACGTTTTGCTGTCAATTTCTTTGGTCAGAGTGAATCCATAGTGAACTTGCCCAGGGCTGAAACCCATTGGCAAGACAATTGGCATAGTTGGCAGGATTCATTGTTGACCAAGGAAAAAGACAGGCTGCCCTTATGGGAGGGGTGCTTTAGCGGGCTGCCCCCTGTGAATGGGGAGACAGTGGATTGTCCCCCAATGGGTATGTGGTCTGCGTGGCCTGCCTCCTAGAGGACTGGGCCCCACCCCAGGACTGGAGGCAAGTGGAGGTGACACCTGAGGCAGTAGGGGTGGCTCTTGGTATAGTAAACAGATCCTTTGAGAAGCAGAGTGCCTGGGAGGCAGCTTCTTACAGTCTTAAAAAGGTCTACAGAGGTGACCCAAGAAATGGCAGCACGAGAACACGAGCTGCAAACTTCTGTGGATTCCCTGAGAAAGGAGATGGCATTAATGCGGGAGGAGACAGCATGAGGGCACCGGCAGCAAGGTGCCATTGGAGATGAGATGGCAGTGCTGCCAGGTGTTCTGAAGGAGGAAGAGGCCATCAAAGAAAAAGACAAACTCCTGAGGGAATCACAGGCGGAGGTGGCACGAGAACATCAGCTGCGAAGCATTGAGCTGAAGGAGAGAGATCTTCTGAAGACTGAGCTGGCATTGTTGCGAGGCACTGTAGCAGAGGAGGCACTTGGGGGAGTGGAGAGAAAGTGCCATCAGCCCCAGAAATGGAGGAGCTGGGGAAGAATGAACGGGTGGTGCCGGAGGCACTGGCCCCTCCTGTATTGAATGCACAACCAGTGGTTGTAAAGAAAATAGAGACCCAGCAGCTGCAAGTTCCCCAAGGAGAAGAGCAGTCCCCTCCCCAAGTCGTGGAACACTCTATGGTCCACCCCTATACTCAGGCTGAGCTGGTGGCTGTGGGACTTAGGGGTGAATGGAATTGTTCTGTCAGGATCAGGGATGGGAAAGCTGTCTTCCCTGACAGTGCAGCCTGCCTTGAGGCAGCAATTACAAAATGTGAGGTGATATGTACAGTAGCTGAAGCAACGAGAACCCAGAAAGAAATAAGACTTGTTACTCACAGGAGGAATTTAAGGGGCCCCGTGAGGGTCACGAGGACCCAGATGTGGGTTGATTTGATACGGGCAGGAGTACATGGAGGGAAATGAGATGGGAAGCCAAATAGGATCTTACTGAAGCTATGGCAACAACTGAAACCAGTGCAGCAGTTCAAGCCATTAAAACCAAAGAGGCAGAGGTCAGAGACAGAGCCACAAGTCTGGCCTGTGTGTCCGCAAGACTTTTTGCTGGAGGGGCTGGAGAACAATGTTCAAGCTTCCTTGCACAGGGACCATTGCAGAGGACTAAGGGCCGATAGACTGAGAGGAGAGAATCCTGGAGGGGTGGAGTGTGGATAAAATGACATTTCCTGTGGCCAGCATTCTCACCTGGCCCTGGTTGACTAGTTCACTGCACACCTGTGGGCAATACATGGCTGCTGACTCTGTATAAAGAGCTCCACCCAGTGCTCTGGGCACAACATGGTGGCAGGGCTGCAAGGCTGCAGGAGAGCAGAGCAGAGACTGAAGTAGTGGCAGTGCCTAGGACAGAGGCCCAGAGGACAGCTGTGTGGGATGGCTGTGTGGACAGAGAGGCCCAGAGGATGTCTGTACAGGACAGCTGTGCAGACAGAGGGGCCCAGAAGCAGATACTGGCTTGCTGCATGCAGACTTGCTCTGAGTGAATGGGATTTTAGTGACTGACCTGCCACCTGGAAATAAAGTTGGGTATAACCCTTTCACTCCGAGACCGTTTTACAGTCATTTTCTTTGGTCACAGTGAATCCACAGTGAACTTGCCCGGGGTTGAAATCCATTGGCAAGACAGAGCTGCAAAAACTTAATTGCATTTTTATAAAGTTTATGAAAGTAACATTGTACCTCCAGGAGCATGTTCTGGGGGCTGGCTTATGCTTTGGTATACGGTGGACATTTCTGTTTGGTGGATCCTGTCATTATAATTTAAGGCAGATGATCATTTTCTTCCTGAAGTTGCCTCACTTTATTGCTCCCATCTACTTAAGTAGAGGCTCCAAAGCCGTGACCAGATCATGTACCAGCTGCATGTTCAAGGAAGAGACTTTGCCCTTATAAACAGCCACATGCATGGGTGGCAGTGAGGGGCAGGGCCCTTGAAATGCTCCTGGGGAGGTACTCACAGGTGGAGGATAGCATTGGTTTTCAAATCTGAAAGATGGCTATTTATTCTACATTAGTGACTGACATTTTAGAAATAATTTGCCTTCTCTCTGCTTACTTTTTGCATTTATAAAGTACAGACTTAGGATGAACTAGTGTGCTTTAGAGAGGTTTGAGATCCTTGCATGCCAGGTGGCCCAGGACAACCGAGGGCCTGTTCTGAGTTTAGTTTCATCTGCATTCAGAAATTCCCTGCTGTGACCCATGGCTGACTCACAATGGCAGCATGGGAGGAGAAGGAGAGCAGCTCATGAGGTTCCATAGTGAGGAGACCTGATTCTGGCTGTGTGGTATCTCCTGGGACTTTGTTACTCGTTACCAGTGCTTCCCATGTCTGAACTCAGTTGCCTTGTTAGATCCCATTAGGCCTCATCTGATGAACGCCTTTCTCTTTAGGTTGAGTAAAGGATCATGAAGCTGTTTGTATCTGGATAAAGTATAAATACTCTCAGATTTTTCAGTACAAGTCCTGATTCCAGAAATTCTATCTCAGGCAATCATAAGAAGTTGAAATGTCCCTGAAATACCATCCTTTTGGCCCTATCACCTAAAGGAATTTATAAGTCCTTGCCAGATCAAGTCATGATTTGAATTCAGAAAATATGGACATCGTGGTGCTTCTCTCTGAGCTAGTGCTTGACTACCTGGTTAGAAGCAGCACTTTGTAAAAGAGTGGGTGTTAGACATCTTAGAACTATGAATGTAAAAGATCTGTGGGGTTGATTACACATATTTGGGGCACAACTAGCAGAAAGTTATTTGGCATATGTAGTCCTCTGTGGCTGTCATTTCTGTATTTTAGAATCACTGTGGGCTTTTTTCAGCTCATCTGCTTAAGCCCTGCACATCCCTCCTCTCCTTTCTCCCCAGTTCCAGGTGGCCAAGAATATTTCCTTTGGCCATGTTTATTAAAGCTGGAAGGATGAGCTTTCTGAATCTAAACTCAGCCCCCAAGCTAGATTAGGATGCACCCTGTTTTTATTTTTCTTTCCACCACCAGTACTGAGAGACCAGCAATCTGTAGGAGGTCACAGTCTTACACTGGAAGCTGGGTTCTAAATACTGCATTCTGAAGAAGTTTGGTCTTGTGTGTGGTGTGCTTAGGAAAGGCATGTTAATATAATGACAGAAAAAGTCTAGAGGCACTTCACGACTGGCCAGGTTGAGGAACTGTTAGAGTGAACACAGCGCCTGTTAACTCGCTTCAGCGCACAGTCTGTTATTCTAGTTACTCTGGAATTGAGTGAGGAGGTAACCAGAGGGTTGTTCCCCACCTGCATTGGGGAATCCATAGATCAGAAGTCCAGGGGAGTTTCTCAGATACTTACACATCTATCAGTTTGGATTCTGTGGCTAGGTCAGTGGAGAGGAGGTTTTCCCCAGCCAAGAGAAAAGCTCCCACCTTCCTTTTTTCATTGTTCTGGGTCCTCTTGATTTGCACTTCCTGCATGATTAGTGATGCCAAGTACCTTTCCATGTGTTTGTTGGCCATCTGTATATCATCTTTGGAAAAAGGTCTGTTGAGATCCTCTGCCCATTTTTTAATTGGATTGGTTTTTTTTTTTTTTTGAGAGGGCACCTCTCATATTTATTGATCAAATGGTTGCTAACAACAATAAAATTCTGTATAGGGGAGTCAATGCTCAATGCACAATCATTAATCCACCCCAAGCCTAATTCTCGGCAGTCTCCAATCTTCTGAAGCATAA